ATTGTGGGAAAATTCTACTACCAGTCCTTCATCACCTTAGACGAAATAGGGTGAATACATCTCATATCACAAGACTAATCAAAAGACCACTCCTTCATCAGCTTAAAAGAAATAGAGTGAATACATCTCATATTACTGATATACTGGTAGTCTCGAAACTCTACTTACATTCATACTTTGTCTTTCAAGATGGCTAATATACGAATCCCATCCATCTTCATTATTACACAATACTATATGCTGTTAGGTCAAATTATGCTGCCTGTATTGGAATTTCAACACAAGACCTACTATTGAAGTTTAGCTAATGCTATAATTTGCTGTATTCTATGGCATAGTACAACATTATATAATGTGCAATTTTATGTTTACTTTAGTGGTGCGCGCATATTATAATTTGACTAAATTTATACTCCTGTATCCATTGGATTATTTCCGTGTTTTTATGCTACCCGTCCACTTTTGCAAATATGGTCAAAAGTCACTTCAAGATATACGTCACAATGTATACAGTGCCAAGCGGCATTTGGCAAAATCAACAGCCATCCGGTACTTACTTGCAGAGATATGGCCCTAGTCTTGCTGCCCGAGGGCATTGGTGGGGCAGGCTCATTTGATGAAGGCGAAGCGGCAAAGGTTGTTGCGCCACTGATGTTGCCCATACTGTGCGACAATGCTTTACGCTGCACCATCGGGGAACTTTTGCTTTTCTGCCGTCTGGCGCCCAACTGTATCTTGAAATCGCTCTCCTCCGACTGTAGCTGGTCTTCATGTTTCAGCTGCCTTTTCGCCTGTCTTTGCTGAGACTGATGCGGTAGACTTTGCGATTTCTCGGGCTCCGAAGAATCCATCAGCTCAGTCATCTCTTTCTTAGACTGACCTGTTGGCTTGTCTGTATGAGCCTGAGACTCTGTTCTGGTGGGCTGATCCGGTTGAGGAGTGACTTGTCTGCCTCCGATTTCTGCCTTCTCCTTGTCAGGCTTGCCTGCTGAACTTAGTTCATTTGTTTCCTGTCTTTGAACAATACCATCCTCCTTCTTTCTCGTAGAAATCTTGGGCTGTTCAAGCGTCTTTGGACGAGGCTTTTTCTTCAGAGACCGTAGATCCGGCCCCGTCAGTTTATAGTCTTCGCCAACCTGAAGTGCCAGTTTGGGCTCCCGTTTCTCGCTCAACCCCTGCAGGTCTGACGATTTTGGCTGTACAACAGGCTCTGTTCTTGGCGCCGATTGCGAGTCTCCAGACTCCAACATGCCCTTCTGAGAGAAAGACCTGATCTCATTGGTTTCCAAGGACTTCCGAGTGCTCGGTTGATTGGCCCTCTCGGCCATCTGGCGCTGAATGAGCACTCGTGGGGAGCCGAGACGCTTTGGAGCCTTGCTTTCAAAGCCAACCACCGAACTGAACTCGGACCATTTCGCCAAGGGTCTGGTTGAGTCGACCGGCCCTCCGGACAGACTCGGCTTGCCGGTCTGGAAGTCGGGACCAGGCTTCTTTGGATGCTGCCTTAAAAGTAGCGCAATCGGAGAAGCCGAGCCTGGTTGGGCTGAACTGGGCTTTTGAGCCGAGGACAATCGGACTCGTCCAAACTTGCCGAAAGACTGACTGCGGCGCAGTCTACCCGCAGTACCTGTCGACTCAGCAACCGCTACTCCGTCACCACGACCCTCTCTGGCGCCACCTGCGCCACCATCAGCCGCACCACCGCCGCCGCCGCCGCCGCCAGCATCGTCAGCTTCACCACGAGCATCTGCTCCAGTCTCCGTTGGGGCACCAGAAAAGGCGACCGTGGCACTGCGTTGCGACGATCGGATGCTTTTGCCGAGCGGCGTGAGTGCAGGAAAGAAGAACGGCGATAGCGAGCCGACGGAGTGTGGAGAGATTTTGGCCAAAGTTAACTCGTCGTCCCAAGAAGACTTGAAGATGGAGCCTTTCGTCGGTGTTACCGGCGAAACAGAGCCTCCCTTCGATGGATGACAGTCGCTGCTGACACTTCCAATCTCGGGTAGACCAGAATCGGCGTGTTGCTGGCTTTTAGCCTCAGCCTCGACTTGATTCTCGTCAACCTGATCAAAGGGCTCATTGGACATTGCCAGATTGGGCTCACTATGAGATCGCATGGAAGCAGACAGGACTTTGTCTGGTTCACAGTAGGTTGAGGGCTGTGGGGGCAAGGCCGCAGGCGCTGGAGGCAGCGCTGGAGGCGGTGGTGTGGGAGGCTTCGGACGCGGATAGGGCTCGTGGAAACCCGAGAATTTATTGACGTGGTCATTTCGCTGGTTCTCGTGGAGACTGTGATAGAGTAGGTCATCAAAGTCCGGGTGAAAGTTGCGCGGCGGCGGTGGCGGCGGCGCTGCTGGTGGACTGAAGAAACTGGAGGTGGGTGTCCATTGGTCATGCTGTTGCCAGCCGTGTCCTTGGGGTTGGTGATGGTGATGAGTGTGCTCTTGCCATGCTTGGTTGTGAGGCTGGTTGTGATGGTGTTGGTGAGATGGCTCCTGGTGGTGCTGATGCTGATGCTCTGCATGGTGATGGAATTCTTGATGATGATGTTCATGATGATGGGACTCTTGATATTGGTGGTCTTGGCCGTCGTGATGATAATGACTGTGCTCAGAGTGGCAGTCAGGCCACTGAGATTTATCAAAAAAGCATTGCGGTCTTGGAAGAACACAGTTTTCTAATGGCTTAAGGTTGATGAAAAATGAGAGGGAATAAAGTAAATGTGAGAAATGATAATGCTTTTGCCCAAATAAAAGACTGCCTCAACAAAGGGCGGATTTCATGTTTCTGCTTAAATTAAAAATATACAACTCGTATTTGCAGACTATGCGCAGCTAAGAGCACCAAAATAACCTGAGATCGCCTAAAGAGATGAAAGTCTTCAATATACACTGCCTCTCTAAAGGTTTCCTGTTCCAGATTAGGCTACAGTTTTTACCTCGATCTGGGTCCCCAATAAGTTATGCAAGGCAAGCGATAACGCTGCGATTTCACCACACAGGCCGGATGTGATCGGGTGCCAGGAAAGAAGTGATAGTAGGAGCAAGTCAGGCCTCTTCTAAAGCACATTTCTTCCGGGACTAGAGTTGACAGGGCAAATCCGAATCTTCCATTATACTCGACGAAAAAACTGGAAAAAATGGGGAGTACCTGAACCCTATTCACTAAGTAATGTGGTCGAATATACTGGAAAATACCAGTTTATATGGATTGCCTTGAAGGTCTCACCTGCCCAGTGAACTACCGGCAGCTGTGGCTGTGACAGAGTCATAACGTGTGCGAGATCCGGTTTCCAACCCCGTTGTAGGTGCTGTCAGATCCGAGTGAGGTCGAAATTACACTCTTGGCTCGAATAGAAAGCCCTTTGGAAGAAAAGGCTGCTTTAAATTAATTGATATGGTCAGACTTCATACTCATTTAGTTACGTAAATCTTAACTATCAAAATGTTAATCATTTACTATTTACGAAACCTACCTCCCATGTATAAATGCGCATAGAGACAAATTTGATTGGGAATATGCAAGAACAAACAAGTATCATATACTGGAGTTATATTTGACCTACCATTCCAGGTTTCAGCAATGGCTTGACGTCGGAGAAGAAGACCGACCACCAACAGGCCACGGTTCCCTGCTCTTCAACAACCTCTGCCAAGTTCATATCCCCTCTGCCGCACGGCTGAAAGATAATGTAATTTGAGGTATGAATACCAAGATAGTGTGACCTTTGGTCTCTTTTCGATGGACAGAGGTGGACTGACCCCGTTTTCGCAACTTAGTTGTTTTTTTCAGGGCGACTTAGTTAAACGTCCTTTGTCTGCTATTGTAGTTATCCTCATTCCCAGCGTCGGACCGAAGATTTGGAACATTGCCAGACATTTCGCCAGCCTCGTAGAAGGAAGGCATCGTCAATGCGTATTGCCATTCTCAGCACCAAACTACGTCTCTTCAAAGAGACATGTGACAACACGATCTAGTTCCGAAGACGAGCTCAGTCCACTTTAGTAATGAAATTAGTTCAATGAGCATAAATGGCTGATTTATCACAATATATCTTCAATAACTGTCAATGGCTGAGCAAACTTCACTTAAAGATACAATTTATATTCATGCCCTAGTAACGGCTAACTTGTGCTGACTTGGTGCCGTACGGACGAGATATTTCTGAGAAGCTCAGCTAGATTGAGCATATCCTAACGCTCAAGAAGGCGAGGACGAAATAATGACAACATACCG